TTTGAAATTCATATTCACAACTCAATTCATAAATCAAACAATCACTTAAGTCTAGAAGTTATATTATGATGTAAATGAGATATTCAATTAAATAACCTCAATTACATTGATTATAATAAATTATAATAGGTTGTAATCTAAACCATAAAAAACAAGTTTTAATTGATAAATGAATAACAAAATTGAATTAGAACATGATGAACAATTGAAAAATCAGAAATAACATGAAAACAATAAAGAAATGAGTAAAAGAAGATGAACAAGATAAAAACAGAAAATAAAACAAAGAAGTAAAGAGAGAAAGAAACAAATTTGATCAATAACAACTTGAATTAATAAACTTCATAACATTATTCGTACAAGAAGCTCTGTGAACAGAATTAGAAGTGAAGCATCACTAAAAACTAGATAAATTTGTAAATAAACTTGTGACTAAAACTTAACTTATGTTTTTCGGTTTTCAAAGACTTATTTATATAACAATAAAGATATACGAAACGTTCAAGACCCATTCAACTCAAAACAACACTATGCAAAATTAAGATTTGACAAATCTGCTCAACGAATTGTCAGTTAAATTAGTTACATAAATTCTGGTAGAATTTTGCTCAACGGATCAAAAAGTGTTTAATGGTTTACATTAGACTAATTTTACTGAGTGGATTAAGGCAACTCCATATGATTTTATTTTATATTTTCTTTAATTTTTCATTCTTGTAAGAGTAAATAAATAATTATAATTTAAGCAATAAATTATATTAGGATATTTTTATTTCTTTTTTACAAAATTACATTAATTATTAATAATTTATTAAGAAAACATACCTAATATATATAAATTATACTAATAAATTTATTGATAAAATATGTTTATCAATACAACGGAAGACGTGGTGGAGGTATGGTAGAGGATACGAAGACGCGATAGAATGTGTGATGGAGGACGTTGTGAAGAGTATAACCGAAACACAAAGACATGACAAAGGATGTGATGGAAGGTGTAAGAGAAGATGAGAGATAAAGAAGAGAGGAAGAAAAACTATTTTATTAAATAAGAGAAATATTTTATATAAGGTTAGAAATATAATATTATAAAAAAAAATTATATCAATTATACTAGAAATAAAATTAATGAACTAATGAAAATGTAACTTTTATATTAATTATAATATAATTAATGTAAAATATTTTTTAAAATTATAAGTTGATCGTTTTTTTATAAAGATTTGTTCATAATTATTATTAAATGATGTAATTGAAAATTATTTTTATTATAACGTTTACAAATATAATTTGCGATAAGACAAAACTCAACTTAAATATTGTTCTTGTAATAGTCATGTGTGATTGTTTCTATTTTTTTATTTAATAATTTAGAGAAAATTTTTATAAGAACCACACGTATCCTTTAGTTTTTACTCACACTATTACAATTACGTCCCTGTTTTCACATTTCCCTTCAGGTTAAAGTACGTATACAATTAATTGGTCGAACAAGGTACATATCATTGCTACTTGTGTAACCAAGCATCATTTTTTTTTTAAATTCTATCAACTGTACTTCAAAGATGTTGACTAAACTATTAAATAAAGGGAAAAGGTTAAAATATTAATTTGTAGAAAATTAAATAGGTTTTAATCGACCAACATTTTCAGAATACTTAATTAGTTAACAAGACTTCCATCATGGAAATAAAATAATTGATAAATTATAGTAAGTTGAATTTTCGGGGACCACAACATTGGCATCCAAGCACAAGCAGAAGCCCAGATGCAGCAATGAGGGGAAGTTCAATTTCTAATTAAGGCAACTAACTGTATTGTAGAAATTGATCCATGTTCCTTAAATGCTTAAAATATTACTGTTACATATTTGTGGAAGAACCCTAATGATTGTGATTAATTTATATAAAAATGTTTGCAACAGATTGATGTTGGCTTGGTGATCCCATATTTTGATATTTTATTTTTGTGACTCTTAAAGGTTCTGCAGTTCGATGTGGGCCACAGATTCGGCAGTTAATGATATGCAATAATTCAGAATGCTTCTCTTTTTCTCTGCTTTTGTAATCTTATACCCGCTTCTCTTTATAAATTTTAATAAAAAAATATGATGTGGATGAGTTTGTGATGCAGATTTGGTAAACGTTATTTCCCTTTCTAAATTGTAGATGAGTTAGTGTTGAGCTGCAGAATATTCTTTTCCATTTTTAATTATATGCGGAAGCTTCTTAATTCTTATCCTCACCTGAGTTTCTGAGTAAAGATATTCAGAATAAAAAAAGTTGCAGAAAGCACGAACGGGGAGGGCTTAAGCTATAAAGAAAAAGAAAGAACAAACAGAACATGGAGAATGAAGCTATTTTGCTTTTGTTTTATAAAATGTAAATATATCTGCTTTTCTGTATTTCTGTATGTCTACATTATCCTAAAGTATCATCACTACGTGCTTTCTTCTTTCTCTTTTCTGTTTTCTTTTTAGCTTTTGATTATTCAAAATTTTAAATTTAATTGAAATAGAATATATTTTTGTATAAAAAGTCGTACAAATACTAGTTAAAAATAGGCTTTTAACATTGGTTTAGAACCAGATATAGAAAGTCTAATATTTTTATTTTTTTATATATTTTATTTATTCATAACCCCTCTCTAATTATCCTATTGATCTAGACTCATCCTCTCCCTTTTATATTATATTTTTGTGTAACTTTCCACATCGGTTGTAAGGAACCGATGTAGAAAGTCTAATATTTTTATTATTTATATTTTTTAGGAATTTGAATTATTATCATATTAAGAGAATTGTCACTGACAAGATTCGAACCCGATGACCTTAGAGTGGAGGTCGATACTCCAACCACTAAGCTACCAGGATTCGAGTGAATTTTCAAAATTTGATGTCAAATTTGTGAGCGGGTCTCTTTATATGGATTATAACTTAATGACAAAATATAATCTTTATAATTTATTTATATAATGATATAAAATATTTTTTTTCTTTATTTTATATCATTATATAAATTAATTATAAAGATTATATTATATATTATTATAAATAAATTATAAAAATTATATTCTATCATTAAATTACAAATTCATATAAAGAGACTTGCTCACAAATTTGACATCAAATTTTGAAAACCCACTCACACTTTCACTATCGAAGCACGCTCTCGCATTTAACATATAAATATATAAATATATTTATATTTGTATTTATATATTTTATATTTATATATTTACATGGATATACATTTTTATTTGTATATAAATATAATTTATTTATAAGTTATTATCGAGAAAATCATAGTAGTTTAGTGATTAAAGTATTAGTCTTTAATTATAAGGTATTAGGTTCGAATCCTGCAAGTAATAATTCTCTTAATTTTATAAAAAGACTTTCTACATCGATTCATTTGCTACATCGGTTCTTTAAGAACCGATGTTAAAAGTAAAGAACCGATGTTAAAAGTGATTTTTGAACAAGTGAAATATAATTTTATTTCATAGATATAAGAATTAGTATTTTTTAATTACAATTTACAATATATGTCAATTATGTTCCAAAAAGTGACAAATATCTTTATATGACAGTTGTATCATCAGACTTTGAATACAAAAAATAACGTTATACTTATTTTAGTATTTAATGACAACTACGACTTGTCATATTAATAGTTTAAATAATTTTTTTGGCTATTAATCAGAGAAGAAAAACTAAAGTACATGCATGGCGGTGGGATGGTTGTGGAGTTAATGCAATTTTAATAAATTCGTTGACAAATTATTATCGACTAATGTTATCAATAATTAAAAATTTACTAACAAGTAAAAGAAAAAAAAATTATTGAATAAAATTAGACAAAACCCTAAACCTAAACATCAATACCATTATACTCAATGATTAAAAGAATAAAATATGCGTTGAATTAGATGATGATAAATGGGAATCACCCTGATCCTTCCTCGGAGGGAAGTGTACGGATATACATTGAGTTTAGGGACGAGTGTGGTTGAAGAACACCTGGTACACAGATTGGAGTGTGTGGAGAGGAAATTTGCCCTGGTTTCCTTTATTTGTTTCATTTATTAGAATTGCATTTTTTTTTTCTCTTGAGGGGGTCCATAGTTGTGCTACACTATGGGATTAGTCAACACTCAAACTGTTTGTATTATGTACCAGGCGTAGCAAGAGAATTTGTATTGTAATTTGTTCTCACTTCGTTCCTTCCTCCTATAACTCTTGGAGTATCAATTTTCATGCTTCATTTGCAAGCATGGATTATAGTAAGATAAGTCTTTCCCTTCATGAATGATACTACTACCACTGAAATGCCCCCACCTTCTTACAAGAGACATCAACCTTCACAAGTCATACCTCCGATAAGACATGCTATACTGATTTTTGGGTAAGCCCAAATTACTTTATTTCCAAGTTTAAAACTATTTTTTTTTAAATATTAAGATTTACTTAAGAAGATAACTTTCTTTTCATTAATGTTTTTCTGTACATAGATTTAAAGATTAAACATGTAGTAGATATTTAAGCAACACAATTATCTGTAAACCATAAACGTGTTGATGATAGTTGAGATATGGTAGACGTATACCACTATACTGTTTACTGACCCCATTTTCCTGATTTTCTCATGAAGCTAAAGTGAACCTTCCCTGGCTCCAAATCCATCTCATACGTACACATACTTTTAAGAGAAAAAAGAAAGAAATAGAAGGAACCTTACTAGTGAGTACTGATTATGACATCTCTTTGGGGCCTCCCTCTTATATTAATTCAACTCCTTTTCTTAGCTGCCACTTCATTTTCCTGTCATCAATTCACATAATCTCTCTCGCTCTCATATTCTCCCTATCACAGTCTGGTTCAGTGCCACTCCTGCTGACATTTCACCTACACACAAGTTCAATTCAAGAAGCCATCAGTTACTTGGAAAGGTTCACCCCTCAGTGTTGGTGGGGGGAGAAGCTACCAAAAACTACAAATGGGAAGGCACTCCTGCTGTTACAAGCAGAAACTTAGGAAGGGTCTGTGGTCACCAGAGGAGGATGAAAAACTTCTGAGGCATATTACTAAGTATGGTCATGGTTGTTGGAGCTCAGTTCCTAAGCAAGCAGGTACTCCAACACTCTAACACCTCATCTAGCATAAAATAAAGGGAAGAACTTGTTGTTCATTTCCCTGTCAATGTCGTTTATTGGCAGGTTTGCAGAGGTGCGGCAAGAGCTGCAGGCTTAGGTGGATCAATTACTTAAGGCCTGATTTGAAGAGAGGCACATTTTCACAAGAGGAGGAAAATCTTATCATTGAACTTCATGCAGTGTTAGGGAACAGGTAAATCTGTTCCTTCTTTTCATGTTTAAACTCTTCCATTTTCTGCATGGTTAGTCTCTGGCTCTTTGCCAAGCACACCTGGCCATTAAAAAAAAAACTCTTCCATTTTTCTTATGGTTGGGCCATCCTAGATATCTTGACATTGATACTCTTTCTTTACTCAGATGGTCTCAAATTGCAGCACAATTGCCTGGGAGGACTGACAATGAAATAAAGAATCTATGGAATTCTTGCCTAAAGAAGAAACTGAGACAAAGAGGAATAAACCCTGTGACACATAAGCCACTTTCAGAAGTTGAGAGTGGGGAGGAGGAGAAAACAAGGAGCCAAGAATTATCCAATGAATTGAACCTACTGAATTCTGAGAGCTTCAAGTCAGATGAAGGGTCCCATGAGCAGAGAGCGTCTTCAATTGCCCCCAAGGCCTATGAGATGGAAGGTTCTTGCAGCTCCAAGATTAACACCAAAGACGACACCAACTTGATAGCCAATTGTTCCAACAAAGACTTGTTCATAGACAGCTACACCACTAGTTGCCAACCCTCAGATTTGATGGGAACTTACCCTCTTCAGATGACTGACACTCTCCCAACCAATTCAAACTCTAGCCATTGGTTCAGCCCAACTGCAAGACCCTTTGATATGAACTCTGAGTTTACTTCTAATGTTATGTCCATTCTTCCACCTGCAACAACCTCATTTCTCCCTAGTACTTCTTTTTGCTACAAGCCATCTCTTGCCGTTCCTTCAGAAGATATTTCAACACCTTCTTTTGCTTTGAATGGACCCAATTACTGGGAAGCCAGTGCCTCCAACAACAGCAATGGCAGCAACACAAGTGATGGCAACAGAGAGTTGACAAGTAGCAAGAACAGTGTCCTCTCTTCTTGGGGACTGACAGAAGAAGCCAAGTGGTCTGAGTACCTCCACAACCCAATGTTGATGCTGGCAGCTCCTGAATCATTGTGCAACCAAATTAGGCCAGCCACACATTTGGTACCTGATCACAATTTAGGGGCCATGATGCCTGGTTCCAAGGAGCAACACCAGTCACAAACTTCTACCATCTTTTCCAAGGACATCCAGAAGCTAGCAGCAGCCTTTGGACATATATAATAGCATCAGACTTTGACATAATGAAAGATTTTAAAAGGGGCTCCAAGGGATTTATTTCTGTTCTTAGTACAGGTGTGTGAAACAACAGATTAATTTTGCTCTTGTATATAGGCCACGTCTGTCACAAAAACATTTCATTTTGGTAATTTTTATTGTGAGCCAAATCATTTGTCTTTTATCTTCTCCAGTGTGGGTGGAATATCATTGCAGAATAATAAGGATTTCTCTGCTTTGTTCTTTCTTTCTTTTTCTACACTGTTGACTGCAATGCACTGGTGCATTAATTTCCATATCTATGCCATCACAAATGTTACTGGTGCACGGGAAGTATCACTTTATTTTCCAATGGGATACACTTTTAGTTACTTTGCCTACACACAATTAACCGAATCTCTTTCATCTCACCCGTTACCATCTTCTATTCATCTCTAACCACACCACGCTATCTTATAGAGTACTCAAAAGGACATCAAACTTGTGCAGCCCGAACTTTACCCTATCCAATATTCTAGTTGCTGCCCACCATTTTTCTTGACACAAAGAAGGATTCACTTTATTTTATTTTTCTTCCATAAATAAGCCTAAGCTTGAGACTTTCCCATCTAAGCAAGTTTTAATTTTAACAGCACAAGGAGGAGGCCAGTGTTGTTCTCCCTATAAGACTATAGAAGTGAATAATTTTCTTCACTCATGGGCAAGAAAGGGACAGGAGCAAAGATTAAATGTAGAAAAAGATGCCCCTGGATAACCTTTGACATTTGCGAACATTTTGCTTGCTTTAAATTTATTTCATGAGACCATGTTGGCTTCTCCCTCTCACAAGTCATTGACGCAGGGGAAGACTAACAGGATCATGTGCGTGTAAGTAGTAATAAAGTGGCAACACTAATGCAATGAATTGAAGTTGAAAGTTGCTTACTTAGTTACGGTCCGTACAATGAGACATGGACAGCTAAGTTAAGGAGCACCTTATGTGTGTGGTCATGTCTTCTAGCGCTTCGAACACACTTGAAAACATTATCTCAAAACAACCCTTTTGTTTTGCAAGTGAGAAACTTCCAATTCCTAGAAGCGCTACAACTTAATTCCAAGCCACTTTCTGCAAAACTGCTTTGTGGCTAACCACATCCCCGCCACAGGTGGCAACATCAATATCTCTTCGGCTTTCGTGACCCAATTCACCCCCACGTATATTAACTCCTCTATATTTGGTTTAACGTTTGGATCTATTATCTACTTTAGTAATTACTTATAATAACTTTTATTCTTTTTAATCCGAAATATAGACATAAGACTCTATCAACTAAACCAAACACGCACTACTTTATCTTATATTTACTTCAACAAACCCAAATATATGTTTTGGTTATACTAAACTAATAATATAACAGTTTATATCTGAGGATTGTTCTACTCCAGAGTGTAAAAAGAAGAACCATACAATTTATGAAAAAGATAAATAATAAAAGGGTGTAAAGTTTGAATTAAGATTGGTTGTAATTTGTAAAGGCAGCGTTGTTCTGTATTGAATTATTCCATCAAATTCTTACCATATGATTGTTGGAATGAAGTATATTTTATTGTATTTAAATTCTCCTAATTCCTCTCTAGTTCAGATGCAGACGGAGATTGATATTATCCTTCCAAACACCACTCCAATTGCTAGATCTCAAAAATTCAACTTCACAGTTAACCATTTCTTTCATAAACTTCTTAACCAAACTAATTGTACCTTTAACTTTAATTATTGGGTTCGAATTATATTCAACAACAAAAACAATAAAATTATTTACATCAAAATATAATGTAACACATATAATGATCAGAACTCAATATTTTTAATTAAATTGATAATAAAGGAATCAAATCAAGTTTTTTCTCTCTTAAAAGGTTGAATGTTGGTCTCTTTTGTTTTAGAAGAGCCGCGTGAACATTTTTTGTTAGAATTAATTTAATTAATTCATTTCATTATGTGAATTATGTGAAATATAATGATGGACTCAAATGTTATTTAATAAAATATAAGGACCTACTGGTTATTATGTGAAATCAGAATAAAATAAAATAAAAACTTACAATAACCAACTTGATGAACATGGATTAATGAAAGATAATTGAGATTCTGTCTCTGACCATAAAGTTTTTTTACGATAAACCATCAAGAAAGCGTGAAAAGAGAAAAAAAGATAAAGAGATAGATTGAAAAAATGAGGTTGGAGTTAAAGAACAAACTCTCATAAATCAAGGTTATTCTTCTTATTATGATTCATGTATGTTATATTGTGAAAATCAATCATCTAAAATGTTGTAGAGTAGTTTTCTAGAATGAATTAAGAATGTAGAAAAACTACAAATTAACTTACATATGGTATCAGAACACTGATTATTAGATTTATGATTTTCCTGGTAGTTTTTCTCAAATTATGTTTTTCCCAAATTAAGATAAACACTAATTATGAATTTAGGGATTTTTCTGTGAGATTAGTATGAACCCTAATTTATTCCCAAATTTATTTTTCTCAAAATTAAATAAAAGAATAAACCTAATTTATGTTTTAAGACTGCAATCAATTTTAAATTGAAACCAATTTTATAGCCCTATGCGTGATTGACGTGATTGAGTTAAGGTGAATCATATATGAAATTGGTTTCACTGCATGTCATAATTATGTTATAATTATGATGAAAGAAAGATAAACGATAAAGTTGATATTTTTATGTTTTTACTTACTGTTACTGTTAATATGCATCATGGACCATGCTCACAGAACACATTTGCATGTTCCTTTTTATTATGCATGATTATTATATGTTTTTGGTAGTGAATAATTAGCAGTTACGTTAGATCTACATCTTATTTTGTCCACGTATAATACATGTAAATGACTGCTGATAATGTACTATCACAGAATGTACCTAGTTTTACTTTACATATAAATGAATGGTTGTTACTATAATGGGATGTACCCGTGTATAAATGTCTTAATTGCAAATTTGTTTTGCAAATTGAATTGAATTATTTTTGCTATAAGTTGTGCATAAAAGTTTTGAATTGACAATTTCAATAAAATTAAGGTCTTAGGATTGAAAATTAATCCTACAATTGAAATTGAAATTATGAGTTTCAATTTTATTTATGACACATAATATTTTATTATGTGAATAATGTACATATTTATTAAAATTAATAATAAAAAAAATGCTATGAATGGTTAATAGCAATTAAAGATATTATTTATTTGAAATGAAGCATGATAAATTTTGTTAGTCACCAAAGTGGCTAAAATTTTAAGGTTATTTTGATTTCAAATTATTAATGATTTTATTTCAATTACCCGTAGTATAAAAGCTAAAATTATGAATAATTGATTTATGGGTTAATTGAAGTTCATTATTATAAGGCATTTCAAGATCACCAAAGGTTAATTAATTGCTATTATAATTAATGAGCATAAAGATGGATAATTTTGTGTGGGTCACTAGTTTTATTTATATACCCAAAGGTGTTAGGTGATTCTAGTTGATACATATTTTAATTATCATTAATGTTATAAAATGATTAGCGTAATTATGTTTGTGTATTAGTGGATCTCCCAAAGGAGAACATTAGTATGTATAGAATGATTATTTATATTTGAATTTGTATTTATGTTTAATTTGTATGACTCAAAGCGTTAATGTTAGACATGTGTTAATTGAAGTATTTGTTCCTGTAGCTCTACATTCACTTTCTTCATCTGTTCCAGTCTTTAATAGATTAAATTTTCATGACTGGAGTGAACAAGTCCAATTTCACTTAGGTGTGTTGGATCTTGATTTGACTTTCCAAGTTGAAAAACTGGCTGCTATCACTGATGCTAGTAGCAATGAAGAAAAAACTCATTATAGAGCTTGTGAAAGATCAAACAGACTTAGTCTTATGTTTATGCGAATGAGTATAACAAGCAATATTAAGTCTGCTCTTCCTAAAACTGAGGGTACGAAAGAGTTTATGAAATTTGTGGAAGAACGCTCCCAAATTGCTGACAAATCCCTTGTTGGGACTTTGATGAATACGTTGACCACCATGAAGTTTGATGGTTCTCGTAGTATGCATGAACACGTAATCGAAATGACAAATATCACAACAAGACTCAAGTCTCTTGGAATGGCATTGGAAGAAAATTTTCTTGTGCAGTTCATTTTGAACTCGTTACCGTCGGAGTATGGTCCGTTTCAGATGAATTATAATACCATGAAAGACAAATGAAATGTGCATAAATTGCATAATATGTTAGTCCAAGAGGAAACCAGACTCAAGAACCTAGGAAGTCACTCTATTCATTATGTGAAAAATCAAGGAGCTAAAAAGAAAGTTGTTAACAAACATGAAAAGGGTAAATGACCATTAAAGATTAGTGAATCATCCATTAACATTCGGAAGAAAAATGACAAATGTCATTTCTGCGGGAAGTCTGGAAATTTCCAGAAGGACTACTTAAAGCGTAAAGCTTGGTTCAAAAAGAAAGATGAGCATATTGCTTACGTATATTTTGAATCAAACTTAACTGAAGTTCCCCATAATACTTGATGGATTGATTCTAGATGTACAACTCATGTTTCTAATGTAATGCATAAATTCCTTTCAACCCGAACCATAAGCCCAAATGAGAAGTTCGTCTTCATGGGGAATAAAGTAAAGGTTCTAATGGAAGTTGTCGGGACTTATCGTTTAATCCTTGACACTGGATATCACTTAGACCTTATGGATACTTTTTATGTACCTAAATCACTAGAAATTTAGTTTCTTTGTCTAAGTTTGATGTTGTTGGATACTCTTTTAAGTTTGAGAATGGTTGTTTCAGTTTATTTAAGCGTACTTGTATGATTAGAATTGATACATTTTATGATGGTTTATATAAATTAAATTTGGATAATTTATATGCTGAAACTCTCATGACCTTGCATCATAATATTGACACTAAACGTAGTTTGGTGAATGAATGATCTGCTTACTTATG